CCGACGAGAACTGAGAAGACAAAGGTCTCTGACCAAGGAGTGTCTCGGCTCGCACGTGAGGTTGCCGAGCTTAAGCGCCGAGTGGAGACCAGGGCTCCCTACAGCCAGCCCATCTTGCGGACGGTAACCCCGTTCACTCCGAGGGTTATGTCGGTCCCGCTGCCGGCAAACTTCCGGCCGTGGCAGATCAAGGCCTACAGCGGAACGACGGACCCCCAATATCATTTGTCTAAGTTCTATGCTTCTATGGAAGCGGCGGCTGCCCCGGACGAGGTCAAGTGTCGATGCTTTCTCCCGACGCTGGAGGGCTCCGCGTGCGATTGGTTCAACCGGCTCCCGAAGGGAACTATTGACGATTGGGATACACTGGCGGAGAGGTTCTTGACGCATTTCGCGGCAAACCGAAGGCAGAGGCTCCCTTACTCCCACCTGCTCAACATATGCATCCACAAGGGAGAGAAGGTCCGCGACTTCATAGTCCGGTGGGAAAAGGAAGCAAGAGACGTGCATGGGGCGGATGACCAAGCGTTGGTGGCCATGTTCCAAGCAGCCCTTCCCCGCGGAGAAGTGAGGAAGGAGCTCCGCAAGAATCCTCCCCCCACGTACCAAGAGACCTTGGCGCGCGCTAAGTTCCTAGCCTCGGAGGAGTTCGATGATATTCCCGACTCTGAGGCCGCGCCCGCCAAGCGAGCTCCTGCAGACTCCGGAGAGGCCGCGAAGAAGAGGAAGAAGAAGAAAGATTACACCGCGGGCCCGAGGACGCCTTCGGCTGGTGTGTACTCCGTGGGTGCGCCCGTGGGGACGGGTCGAGAGCTTGCCCTCTCCTCGCTCCCGCACGTAGAAACCTATGCGGTGTCCAGCGGTGCCAAGTATTGCGAGTATCATCGCAATAACACTCACAACACTAAGGAATGCTTCACTCTGCAGAAGGAGATGCAGCGACTCATCGCCTGAGGGCCGCCTCCGCGGGATGAGAACGCCACCCCCTCACGGAGGCTGCCGGAAGGAAGGACATGGAGGAAACCGACCGAGCCGGTAGCGGTGGCGACTCAGGCAAGGAATCCCGAGAAGAGGCACATCGGGCGGGATTGTGAGGACCTAGACGAAGATGAGGCGCAAGGATACCCGGTGGGATTTATCCATGGAGGAAACATCGGCGGAGATTCCGCCGCCCAGAGGAAGAAGTGGAAGCACATGGCATTTGTCTCCAAGGTTCAACAAGCGCCGGTGCCCAAGCTCGGAAGACGAGAGCAAATCCAGTTCACGGAGAAGGACCTCCCGAACACGCCGAGCCCCCACCGGGATGCCCTAGTCGTGAAGATTGAAATCAATGACGCCATAGTGCATCGCACCTTGGTGGACACGGGAAGCTCGGTTAACATCATGTATGAAAAGACCTTCCAGGACCTCGGCTTGGACCGCAAATACTTGAGGCCCGTGCGCACTCCTCTCTCCGGGTTCACGGGGGACTCCATTGAGGCCGAAGGATTCATCACCGTGCCTGTGATAGTAGGGGATGGGGCGCACAAGGCTAAGCTGAAGATGGAATTCATGGTTTTGAGCATCAACTGCGCGCACAACATGATCCTAGGGCGGCCTGGCCTGGAGGACTTGGAATGCGTAATCTCCCCGTATTACTTGTGCATGAAGTTCCCCACTCCGTCCGGGATTGGGGTGGCGAGGGGAGATCAGAAGTTAGCTCGATCGTGCTACGTCCGAATCACGAAGAAGTTGCCAAGGGACGAGACGTTGGTCGT